ATACGCTGATAACGAACTACGGTTATAACGAACTAAAATTCGTGGTCCCTTTGAGTTCGTTATAACCGTAGTTTATTGTATTGTGATAGTATGACGAATATTGTGATGAATTATAAATCAACTCGTAGAATTCTGAAAATTGTTCGTTTTCATTCTAAAAGATGTCTTTCAATTTAGTAGTTTCATATATTATGCATCCACGTGTGGCTGAATAAAGCAGCAGTTCCTTCACAGCCTCACATTAATACTTGATTCACATATATTGTTTTAAAACCAAATATTGTAGTAATAAAACGTAAAATTGTTAACCTGATACGTATTCTCACGGAGAGGAGGGGTAGTCACAGGTGAAGATGTGTGTGTGTGTGTGGGGGGGGGGGGGGGGGGGGGGGGGGCTTGGGGGGTTGGAGGAATGTAAAAAGAATAGCTGGAAAATAAATGTTTTTTACTGAATAGAATGTGATATCTCAGAGCAGCTTTTCTTAAATATCAAACAAAGCTTTCACTATCACAAAAATCAAAAACAGACTGTTAAAGAATTGAGATTCTAATATAACGGTTAATGTGAATTCAGCGCATATCGCTGCCAGAAATATTCCAGTAACGACGGGAACTCTAACAGTGTTAGGGTCTTCAAACTTTACACGCTCATGGGGGATCGAACCCGGGAACTCTGCGTGACGATTGAACGCTGAACCACTGGGCTACCCATCGATTGTGGTCAATGGATATATACTGGCGGGCAAAAGAAAGTATACACTTGAAAACTGGATTTCACTAAAAATTACAAGCGTTATCGAAACGTTACAAGCCTAAAACGTAAACAGTCTCCGAAACACTGCAAATGTATGGTCCAAAACACAACATAATACCCGATCAAATATTGTCTCATCGATTTACCATTTCTTGTTTGTTTCATTTTTAACATGGATGTATACTTTCGTTAAATTCGTTATGAAAGAACATCTACATTTAAATCCATAAACTATACGTGTCTCTTATAACGAAATCAATCTTTCTAAACTCGTTTAATAGAAAACAATACCAAAGTAATTAGTATTATATATCATCCAAAATATACCGTCCGGTCCCGTTCACCATGACCCTAATGACAAGGCGTCTGGAATTGAGTATCGACCCGACGGCAATCAGCGCCACATCAAACAGAGCGGTATACCTTGAACAAACCCAGGTTTTCATTCGGTTATGAATACTCGCCCCAAGGGAAAATGTAACTTTGTCACTGACAGGCCCCAAACCGCCTTGACATCAAGAGGGATTGTTTAACTGGATTACCGAACACATTCCGACTAACACAATACAGGCATTACCAGCATACATACACATGTCTAGACGCTGTTTTGCCGCCAGACCGCCTCCGTGGTCTAATGGTAGCAGAAGCCGAAGGTCCGGGGTTCGATCCCCGGCAGCGTCATACCAAAAGACGTTAAAAGATGGTACTTGTTGTTACCCCGTCTGGCGCTCGGCATTAAGGGGCTAAAACAAGGACTGGTCGGCTCGGAGTCAGTATACTGTGTCTGAGTGGGGTGTCCATGTTAAACTGCGGCATGGTATCTCAGTGTGCTAGCACTATAAATCGGCATCAGTCCGGACTAGTACAAGCAGCCACACACACACGTACATGCACGTCGCTATATAAGTGCAATAATCTAGGACGCGACGTTAAACCCAATTTCACCTTCACCTCACCTCGCCAATGAAGACGGAAACAGTAGTTGTTGTTTACATTTATCATCAATTTGAAATTAATTGGCGGCATGTGTTGTCGAGCCTAAAACATTTATGTACATGCCAATGAGTATCTGTAGTGTAATTGTTCCTTCGTACTAGGGGGGCACGGGTGGCCCAGTCGTCTAAGGTGCCGCGATTCGCTGTGCAGAGTTGCGTCTCTTGGACACGCCAGAAACCTATGATTGTGGGTTCGAATCCCGGTTCGCCACGATTATGTTTCTAGGTTTGTCAGCACCATACCCGTGCTCGTGGGTTTCACCGAAGTGGTAAACATCTGAGACCTGCATCACTTCGGGCTTTCCTCCCACATTAAGCTGACACGCCGCGATATAACTGGAATATTGTTAAAAGCGGCCTAAAACCCAACTCACTCACTCACTCACTCCTTCGTACTAGTTTCTCGTGAGGTTTTATTCCCATGGAACCCTTTTTACCAGGAAAATCTGTCCACGGTACATTTACACTGACAAAATTTGTCCGGATGGATCTAATTTCATGATTAACTTATCATCGTTGACATACATTCTCTTCTGCACAATAAACACAAATAAAGCTTTAATACAACTGTAAATTATGTATCCCAAATAATTTTTAAAAGATCTATAAAAAGATATGATCGAACACCCCGCATAATGTTATCTGAGAAAAAAGATAAATAATAAAAATATTGAAAAAATAATTCCCCTGGAATCAAATTATTAAATTTTAACATCTGTGGTTGTTTTTTGCTCCGTATACTTGTTCAGAAGATATAAACAAATGCAATTCTCCATATTATATATATTTCATTATTGATGTTTTTGTAACTGAATTTTTTCGTGAAAAATTGAAGGTTTTGCGTTGAACAATATTTTTATAGAACTGTAGGAGGAACTCACAATTGGCTAAAACCAATGATAGTGAGTATCATGTTACGTCGTTTAGTTCAACACATCCACGGCCGGGGACGCCAGAAATAGGCTTCCTATTTTGTACCCATTTGGGAATGGAAACTTGTTGTCAGCATGACGCGTCAACACCTTAACCACTCTGCCACCCAAAAGTCACACCATCTGCAATTAACAGATGGTTTCAGACAGGTGTGCGGCCGGCTAATACTGTTACACAAGAGAGTTCGTCAGTTAAGCCGAAGGGTTGTAACTGAATAGGTTGTCTGTCAACATTATTAGTCATGTTTGACTGTAGGCTGATCTAAACTATCGAACGAGCGAAAGTATACACCCACGTTTGACGGTGGCTAAAAATGAAACCAACAAGAAATGGCTATTCGATGGTGATTTGATCCGAGTTTCATAGCTTTGGTCCGCAGTGTTACGGCGCCTGTTTTCAGCCTAGTAACATTTTGATAAAGCTTGCAATGTTTTAGCCAAATCCAGTTTTCAATAGTATACTTTCTTTTGCCCGGCAGTTTATATATTTATTTCATCAATAGTTTTGTTTCGAATTTTGCAAATCTTTGTTTGCCAACGTTTTATACTTTACAGCAGAAGAATGGTCAATGTGTGAAAATATATAACGGCAGTGCATAGACCTGTTTACTGTTCACAGCAATTTTCAAACAAAGTTTTCAGTCCAATTAACCGACCAATGATACTGGATAAAGAGATGGGTAGGTTCACACAACTGTACTTGATGTCTCTGGTCTCTAGTCCAAGTCGTAAGGGGCGGTCGGGTAGCTTAGTGGTTAAAGCGTTCGGACGCCACGCCGAAGACCCGGGTTCGATTCCCGACAAGGGTACAATGTGTGAAGACCATTTCTGGTGTCCCCCGCCGTGATATTGCTGGAATATTGCTAAAAGCGGCGTAAAACCATACTCACTGACTCACTTCAAGTCGTAAACTGTCATATAGTTCATCGCTTCAGAAGTTTATATTTCGATTTAGAGCGAATGCATTTAATGAATGAGAAGGATTTGAGCAATATTTCAGCAATATCACGGAGAGGGACGCCAGAAATGGGTTTCACTCATTGTACCAATGTGCGGAATCGACCCTGGCCCTTCGGCGAGACGGACGAACGCTTTAACCATGAGGCTACCCCACCGCCCCTTCTGTTAAAACATTATTGTATTGATCATTATAACCAGACAGTTTAGTCACGTTACTTTCAGTTCATTAAACACCGCCTAACTGATCACGCGCTGTATTAAGTTGAGAAACTCGCATGATTATCAGCCTAGTGTTTCAAACATAAAACGCCAACGCCAGATTATAAGCGCAGAAACATATAACATTGGGCCTAAAAACCAAAGTAGCGGTATAAAATATATAAATAGATCACCGAAAATCAGCCATGACACCAGGTATTCACTAAAAGGGATATCGTCAAAGTCCCCATACAAATAGTATCCTGTTATCTTAATGAAATCACGCCTGACTTTCAAAACATTGTCATTTTCTCTCATCGCTTTGAATTCATGTCCATCTCCAAATAGTTATTACAACATCAATATTCCTCTTCAGAACGTAAAAAAGCATTAACAAACATGGCTGCGAGGGCCCTCAAGTTTGAGGAGCTGAATTGAGATATCATAGACCTTGAATTGACTGTATAACATTGTCAATATTGTTCACACCCCGTGTCACGTTTCAGTCCGAAAATCTCATCAAGGCTCCACCCCCGGGGCACAGAGGATAACTGTCAGATCCTATCGTTCAGGTATATTCGCTTCAGTGAGAGGAAGCCATATGACTCTCGGTAAAGACAACCGCGTCTGATGATTCAGTTCTGGGACAAATTAGGTTTGTATTGATAGGATCGTGTATACGGTTGAACTGGCTGTCAACGTTTGTCAAAGGTCTCTACAGCTGATGAGTCGCTTACATTTGACACGTCTCTTTAAGTATGAGTGCGAGGGACGAGACCATGACGTGTTGGATTGCAAAGATGTTTCAAATACCGATGTTGTCCGTAATGCTTAATAAAACACATCAACAATGATAGCCCCACGCTAAGCCCAATGTAACGATTAGTTTCATTACGAACAGTATTTTGTCATGGAATCTATTTAACCAAATCATACCCACTCGTTTTGTTAGATATAAATAGCGCTCCAACAGTTTCAAATCTAAATCATGTATAAGTACATATAAATCTAAAAACAGGCATTTACACAATATCATGATCTTCAAAATTTAAAACATAACACCATTTAATATGTCCTTTAACAAAAAGTAGAGGACTATGTTTTCTAAGGTTGTGATGCGGTCGGCGGAGCATCTTCCGCCTCGATGCAATCGTAACCTACCTTCTCCTCTTTTCCATTAATGTCAAGATAAACTGTCTTGGAGGGTTCAATCGATGACGCGTTCCCCATTCTTGGTTCGGTCCCGTATCACAGTCACTCTATTCTTCAAGCGTTCACAATGTCACCACAAAAATATCACCTCCATATACATATGCTATATTCATACAATCACGTTAAATCCTTCTCCGCCTGTCATGCTTAGATCTTCCTTCCTAATGTGTCGTCTGCTCTTTTATACTCTCGCTACTGTCGCGTGCTAATGGCGTTACTGCGCATGCGCGCCAAAGCCTCCAGCTCCGTTGTTTCGTGAATCACCTTGGAGATGAATTAGATTTAAATGCATCAAGTCACTATGGAGACAAGCGATGCGATCTTTCGGCACAATAGTTACAGCTCAAACATGTACCACTTATCACTTGTAGCATAAAATAAGTGGCGTTTTTGTGTTCAGGGATGTCGGCATTGTGCCAGCGCGTTATCGATCTCAAGCTGAATGGACTTTGCAGCGAGAAAATGCGATCGGTGTAATTATATCTACACTACAAACGCTCTGTCATCTCGGGGAGCCAATGTAACAACACGCAACTTCGTCAACGATTTTTTTCAAACGAGACCACTTAAAACTCTACCTCGTCTTCGGTCACGCATTCCTCCCGGGAACATCCCATCGACATTCCGATGCCTCGTGCACGTCGGTCCCACAGGGAACCGTACATATAATCTATGATTCCAGTAAACAGGATTAATCTCTCACCCCGCTTGAAACGCTTGTGGTATTAGTTTCATGCATGGTGGTCTTCGAGAAGCCTTGATTCTTTTAGAGTATCAGTTTGTAAGTTGCATGATGCCACATTCAGAAATATGAATGTGGCTTATAAATAATTACAAGTGATAGAAGTAAAAGTAGTAGTACTGGTAGTAATAGTAGCATCAGCAGCAGCAGCATCAGTAGTAGCAGCAGTAGTAGTAGTAGTAGTAGTAGTAGTAGTAGAAGTCGGAGGAGTAGCAGTAGCAATAGTAGTAGTAGGAGAAGCTGTATCAGTGACAGTAGCAGTAGCAGCAGAAGCAGCAGTAGTAGTAGTAGTAGTAGTAGTAGTAGATGTCGAAGTAGAAGTAGTAACAGTAGTAGTAGCAGTACAAATTGAGGTAGTACTGGTTTGTTTGTTTGTTTGTTTGTTTGTTTGTTTGTTTGTTTTAGGCCGGCCTCAGCAATATTCTAGCTGTATATTCGGTCTGTGAATAATCGAGTCTGAAAATCAGAAAATCCAGTGATTGACATCATGCGCATCGATCCAAGCAATTGGAGTACGATGACATACATCAAACCAAGTCATCGAGCCTGACCAACCGATCCCGTTAGTCGCATCAGTAGTAGTAGTAATAGTAGCAGTAGTAGTAGCGTCAGTAATAGTAGCACCAGTAGTAGTAGTAGTAGTAGCAGCAGCAGCAGCAGCAGTATAAGTTGTAGTAGTACCATCGGTAGTAGTAGCAGTAGCAGTAGTTTGATTTGGTTTGTTGTTTATCGCCGCACTCAGCAATATTCCAGCTATATGACGGCGGTAATAATCGAGTCTGGACCAGACAATCCAGTGATTAATATCATGAGCATCGATCCACGCAATTGGGATCGATGACATGCATCAACCAAGTCAGCGAGCCTGACCAACCGATCCCGTTAGTCGTCTCTTACGACAAGCATAGTCACCTTTTACGGCAAGTATGGGTTGCTGAAGACCTATTCTACCCCGGAATCTTCACGGGTCGTAGCAGTAGTAGTATAAGTAGCATCAGTAGTAGTAGTAGTAGCAGTAGTAGTACCAGCAGTAGGTGGAGCAGTAGTAGTAGTAGTAAAAAAAATATTAGTTGCAATAGTAGTTCTATTAATACACGCAATTGGGATCGATGACATGCATAAACCTTATCAGCGAGTCTGACCACCCGATCCCGTTGGTCGCCTCTTACGACAAGCATGGGTCGCTGAAGACCTATTCTAACCCGCATCTTCACGGGAGTAGTATTGTAGCATTAGTAGCAGCAGCAGTAGAAGTGGTAGTAGCATCATCAGTAACCGTATTTGCAGCATCAGTAGTAGTGTGTATCAGCAGTAGTAGCAGTAGCAGTAGTAGCAACAGAAGCAGTAGAAGTAATAATACTAGTAGCAATAGTAAATAGTAGTACTAGTAATATTTGTAGTAGTAGTGGAAGTAGCAGCAGCAGTAGTAGTAGTAATAGTAGTAGTAGTAGTAGTAGTAATAGCAGCAGCAGCAGCAGTTGTAGAAGTAGTAATAATAGTAGTAGTAGCAGCAGTAGTTGTAATAATACTAGTAGCAGTAGTAGTAGTGGTAGTGGTAGTGGTGGTGGTAGTGGTGGTAGTGGTGGTGGTGGTGGTAGTTTTGGTGGTAGTGGTAGTGTTGGTGATAGCTGTAGTGGTACTGGTGGTGGTTGTTGTAGTGGTGGTGGTAATGGTAGTGTTGGTGGTAATGGTAGTGTTGGTGATAGCTGTAGTGGTAGTGGTAGTGGTGGTGATGGTGGTGGTAGTGGTAGTGGTAGTGGTGGTGGTAATGGTAGTGTTGGTGATAGCTGTAGTGGTAGTGTTGGTGATAGCTGTAGTGGTAGTGGTGGTGGTAATGGCGGTGGTAGTGGTAGTGGTAGCGGTAGTGGTTGTAGTGGTAGTGGTGGTGGTAGTGGTAGTGTTGGTGATAGCTGTAGTGGTAGTGGTGGTGGTGGTTGTAGTGGTAGTGGTAGTGTTGGTGATAGCTGTAGTGGTAGTGGTGGTGGTGGTGGAAGTGGTAGTGGTGGTGGTGGTGGTAATGGTAGTGTTGGTGATAGCTGTAGTGGTAGTGGTAGTGGTGGTGATGGTGGTGGTAGTGGTAGTGGTAGTGGGAGTGGGAGTGGGAGTGGGAGTGGGAGTGGTGGAGGTGGTGGTGTTGTTGTTGGTGGTAGTTGTTGTGGTAGTGGTGGTAGCGGCAGTGTTGGTGATATTTGAAGTTGTAGTGGTGGTGGCAATGGTAGTGGTTGTAACAATATTAGTAGCAGTAGTACTGGTAGTGGCCCTGTTCTTTTCTGTTCTACACCGTTAATACCCTAACCACTTCCCTAGCACATTATTACCTTCGTACCCGACAGAAATTACAGAAAACTAGTATTCATTTAAAAAAAATATATTTCATTAAATATTCATAGTCATATGACTTATTCATGTACATTACTCTATATATAATTATATATTATATATTACAGGAATATTAACAGTTGTACTTAGTGAACATCAGCAATTCTTTAAAGGCCCTCTGTGTCAATATTTTCCCACTTGATGGATATGCGCCAATGTCGATCTGTGCGAGCTCAGTTTGTGTTCAGTTTTTAAAAGCTGGACTATTTTCAGGTTCATCTTCCAGCAAAAAAATAGTAATCCTTGACGGAGTGACAAAAAATATCCCGTCCCTTACAAATATCCTAGATTATGATATAAACTGACGGACAAAAGAAAGTATACACCATGTTTGGTGGTGGCTAAAAATGAAACCAACAATAAATGGTTATCCGATGGTGATGTATTTGATGCGGGTATCATAGTTGTGTTTTGGACGTTAAGATTACAGTTTCTCGGCGACTGTTTTCAGTCTAGTTACGCTTAGCAAGTTTGCAATGTTTTGGTCAAATCCAGTTTTTATATTTCATCAATAGTTTTGTTTCATTTTTTTTCAAATCGTTATTGCTATCGTATCATACTTTACAGCTGCAGAAAGGGCATTGTATGAACATATATAACGACAATTTGTAGACCTGGTTGCTATAAAGGCAGAATCATGTACTCAGATTGTACAGTTTGTAGCGGGTCGGAGATGTGGCAGCACAGTTGGCGTGACAGACACCTTAAGGCGGTTGCCTGGCAACGAGAGTGAGAGTAACGGCCATGTGTTCGTGGGAGTCTATCTGTGTATGAGCAAGCGTGAGAGAAAGAGAGAGAGTGGGAGAGAGAGAGAGAGTGAGAGAGAGAGAGTAGGAGAGAGAGGGAGAGAGAGAAAGGGAGAGAGAGAAGGGACGGAGAGAGAGAGGGAGAGAGAGAGGAGAGAGAGAGGGAGAGAGAGAGCGGGGGAGAAAGAGGGAGAGAGAGCGGGGGAGAAAGAGGGAGAGAGAGAGGGAGAGAGAGAGGGACGGAGAGAGGGAGAGAGTAGGAGAGGGACGGAGAGAGAGAGGGAGAGAGAGATAGAGAGAGAGAGAGAGAGGGAGAGAGAGAGAGGGACGGAGAGAGAGAGAGAGAGAGAGAGAGAGAGAGAGAGAGAGAGAGAGAAAGAGAGAGAGCAATTGGGATCGATGTCATGCATTAATCGGATGGTCAGCGAGTCCGACCATCCGATCTCGTTAGCCGCCTCTTACGACAAGCATAGTCGCCTTTTACAGCAAGTATGGGTTGCTGAAGACCTATTCTACCCCGGATCTTCACGGGTCTCAGCGCTATGAATAAGACCCTATATGTCGGGATGCAAATCTTAAAAACAAAGTCGCGTCGACATCGGCATGGACCTGCGTTAATGATATCTCAATTTATTCTGGGTTTATTTTACGAGATGGAACAAGACATATTGGTAAAGGGTGCAAAACGACAATTCTGTTGTGACGTATTTAGGTCACGTGTAACTGCGGGGGCTTCACACGCTTTTTATGACTCAAAGCTGATCTTTAAAACAAAAAGTGTTAGTGGTAGTGGTGGTAGTAGTGGTTGTGGTGGTGGTGGTAGTGGTAATGGTAGTGGAAGTGGTGGTACTGGTAGTGTTAGTGGTAGTGGTGGTAGTGGTAGTGTTGTTGATAGCTGTAGTGGTAGTAGTGGTGGTGGTGGTAGTGGTAGTGTTGGTAGCGGTAGTGATAGTGCAGGTAGTCGTAGTGGTGGTAGTAGTGGTAGTGTTAGTGGTGGTGGTAGTGGTGGCAGTGGTGGTAGCGGTATTGTTAGTGTTAGTGTTAGTGGCGGTGGCGGTAGTGGTAGTGGTAGTGGTAGTGGTAGTGGTAGTGGTAGTAGTGGTAGTATGGGTTGCTGAAGACCTATTCTACCCCGGATCTTCACGGGTCTCAGCGCTATGAATAAGACCCCTATGTCGGGATGTAAATCTTAAAAACGAAGTCGCGTCGACATCGGCATGGACCTGCGTTAATGATATCTCAATTTATTCTGGGTTTATTTTACGAGATGGAACAAGACATATTGGTAAAGGGTGCAAAACGACAATTCTGTTGTGACGTATTTAGGTCACGTGTAACTGCGGGGGCTTCACAC